TCGACCCCTCAACCTACAATCTTCTTGTCATTTTATGCACGCACAACTCGTCATAACTTCAGTAAATATTTTAAACACGTAGGGCCCGAGACCGCAGGGACAAATAGGTACATCGCTGACCCGCGCAGATAGACACAGTAACCACTCATACTCCAGAAACGCCTAATGTGAAGCCGGAAATTAAGACGGTCATTGAAAGAACATCTCACGATTCAAATGCTGGCAACTGTGTCCACCATCTGAGCAACAGACACTGAGGGACAACCACCCTCAATTGAAAGGCAAACTTTTGTCGGAAAAAAAGAAAGCTCCAAGGTAAACACAGAGTAGCGACTTATGCCTATTAATGGGATAGAGGGGTCCGCAGCAAAGTCAGCCAAGTGTGAGTGCATGTGTCACACATGGCGAGGCAAGGCGAGGCCAGACCATCGATGAATAAGCCTTGCCTGCGTAAGTCCGCTAACAGCCACGGACGCACAAAAGCGGACAGCGAGCGCACAGCGTGGTGCGGCACAGCAATGACGTGCACGTGCGCGCACACTAAACATCTGATGACTACACAACTACACCACCACCGCCACCGCCACTGCCGCCGCCGAGGCCGTCAATCGATGAGGCGCGTGCGCACAGGCACACAGGCAGCGAACCGTGGACGATGATTGCTACATTTGTACGCCAAGGCCAGGCGAAGGCATACAACGAACGTAAATGGATACAAGATGTAGACGGACGGGCACACGAACGGCTAAAGGAGAAATGTAGAGGGTCTTCAATCACCGTACCACTTCCACACACCTCCGGTCGACCGCTGGAGCGGTTGGTGGGCCAACCTCGAAACGTGACGGGTACCGATTGCAAGGTTTGAGAAGCCCTCAAACCACCACTTTGGGAGCAAATTGAACCGTAAGACAGATGAATAGGCAGTTGTAGAATCGAACATTCCTTCATTAATAGCTCGTTTGGGAGATTTGACGAATTTCCATGGTCAGTGAAGGCTCGAGAAATTTATGAGCAAATGGTGCTGATATGGTTACTTTGGCTCCATTTTAGAGGGAAAACAGGAAGAATGGACAGATTGAAATGCTGACTTATTTAAGTAAAGGCGCCACCACTGGCTCCTTCAAGACCGTTGTAGGGTGCCAGGGTGAAAATTCAGCATGTTAGTTCTAAAATAGCCCAAGAAACAAGGAGGGATTGGCAGACCTATTCAGGACAACCCCCTCACTCTAATTCTTTAAATTACCGACACAATGAACAATGGAGTGTTTAAACAACTTAAAACCTCCAGACAGTTGACAGACGAATAGCTGTGCATTTAAGGATCTTCATCAGTCGTCCGTTCAGCGCCTTCTTCGAAAAATCGCCGAATATACTGGACTGATAGATAGAGCATTGTCAAGGATGTAAATAAACAGTGTAAACGCAGCCATCAGACTTCTAACCACCTCCTTAGAGGGAGGAGTCCACTGACGCCTAAATGAATGACGAATGACTCGCGTACAACTGAGCCCGTAAACCTCGAAAGACAGAAAACAAATAGAGGTGGGGCAGTTCCGATGGTTGCCGTTAAATGCGCATTTGGGGGTCAATGGTGGTGTTAGCGTCGTTCAAAACTTAGTCGGTTAGTCGATCGATGGGATGGAGAAGAGCTCAGTGAGTCATGAGGATGTTTCGCCCCAGCGTACTGCGATTGCTTCGGGATGACTTGTCAAAGATCACAGTTATGAAAGACTATGGTTAGTCCATGCTGCTGTCCCACATTATTGAGCCAAAGAACACATCAACAGCTTCCTTGACTCTAGAAATTGGAATTAGAAGTACATGGGAAAAGACAGCAGAGATCGACACAAAGATCATGGAAGGGTGGTGTGCTAGCACATTCCAATACTACACTCACTGTTTCCACAGAAAAAAAATAAAATTGAAGTGGATTTTAGGACAATCGTATTGTCAATCATGGGAACGCCAGGTGCTGCAGTGGTCTACATAGCCTCAATTCCATCCTTCCTTTCAATACCTCCCGCGTTAGAATCCACACTGAGGCTGGAAGGCATCTGGAGGGCATTACATATTGAGCAAAGGGTGGAGATGGGGAGTGACCCGTTAAAACCCAGTGAGTCATGCTGTTTCTGCAGCATCAAATACATTCTAGTAGAAAAGGTAATTTAAAGGTAGAGCAAAATTCATATGCGAAGCAATCAGAATACATCATCAAGGGCCGGAGGGGACTTGACTTCACACTTATCTATCACAATTTAGTTGAGACTGTAGCAGTCTAGTCGACAATATTTCGTGATACCACACGAAACACCATTTTCGAGGAAGGAAGAAGAAAGTAATGTCCACGAACAGCAAAGTCAAACAACAGATGAAAAGAGGAATTATTACGCGCAACTTAAAGATAGAATCGTGTGTGGTCAAGACTAATTTTGAAGTGAATGTGGGAAGGCAGACTTCAGGAAATTCGGTTGTAAATTGATGGCTTGGAGACCATCCACTTGAGATTAAGGGAATACATTTGAGTGAACATTGATGATGACATCTGATGGGGGACTATAAGGAGAAGAAATTGAATCTTGAAGAATCTAGGAAATGGGTATCGAGTCTGTGTAGCTTGCAGCGAAAAAGACATTTTACTAGTTAGAATAACCTGTCAGCGAGTAGAACTCAAAACAAATGCCGCTTAAAAGTAACCTCGATGTGGTCTAAACATTTTGTTGAATATACTACCGTAAGTTGAAAGAGACTTTAAGGTACGCACCCGAAGAATTTCGCGGCAGATGTAGGCAATCCAGTCCTCTTTCAACGACTGACCCCGAGTACCTACAATAGTCGAATGGGGCGTCAGCTGCCTATGCATGCAGGGACTGAGACGAGACAAAATGAATCTCAAAAACACACACGTGTACCTTAAATTCCACTATCACCACAACCACCATTGTTAGTTACTATCTGCAAAAAAAACTCACTTTTAACCAAATCCGTCACCGAACCCGCCCCACAATATTCCATCACGAGCTGATTTAAAAAAGAAAAGTGAGAGTGGAGCGGAAGACTTCGATACCTCGTCTTGATGAAAATTTCCTGCAGAGTGCAGACTTACCCACAGGTGATCGTTCGGAGTGGCCTTCTTGATAAAGGCACCGTAGTATGTGGCGATGTTTCGATGGTTGGAGAGCTAAAAAACACGAGCGTAGGCACTCGGGAATCTGGAGAGAAAGCGCACATGGGACCGCGTGTGGCCACTTTCACTATTAACCATGCGTGAAATGCGCGAGATTTACTAAAAAATTGAGGCACTAATGGAATAATAGGGACTTCAAATCACGGTTCGCAAGCGGTGAGGAGGAGGAATCTCAGTGCTTGACACTGCTTTCCAATCCGACAAACACCTGCGGTCATAATTTTACCAGAGTAGTAGAAAACAAAGGTTACCCTGATACTAAATCACCACTAGATGCTTGAGGAATCGATCTTTTTTCTCTCCTTAAGTTCGAATACTATTAGGGTTTGTAAACCGCTAAGATTCAGAAGAATGCTCAAAGTCAAGGCACCACCTCTTAGCGCATAGATCATCAAACGAGCAAAGTCAAGCACAAGTTTTGGAAGACGGTAAGCAGGAGGTGCAGAAAATGTGGTTAAGGAAGACAGGAAAGTTGTGTTTCAAAAAATCATACTAAAGTCCAACCTCCCTCACCCCCAGATCGGTCAAATTAGATGCGCAAAAAGCGAACTGCCCAATAATAATGAGAAATTTAGCAAAGGGTAGCTAAAGGAGACAAAGAAAAGCCTATCGTTGCGTCCTCGAAAACTAGGAGAGACAGTTCTCAGGCGAAGCTCATGTTGAATGAATTTTATTCAGAACCGCAAAGCGGGCGCAAAGTTTGCCGTAGGAGCCTCGATCCTCCTCTGGATAAAGCGTCTATCAGCTCCAGTCATCTCTTCAAACAGGCGCTTACAGGTGTGGGATAAACAATGAACTCAATGAAAGAAACAAGAAAGGCAAGCATGTCAGAGTTGAGAGAAGGCATATGTAGCACCCCAAAGTCTTCCCGTTAAGTGCCCATCCTTCCATTAGTTCTTGCAGAATTAGCATTCACTTTTGCTTTGCTAGAGAAGAGAGGGGCTGACTCATACGACGGTACATCTATAACTACGGGGATAAGAGAGGAAAAAAGGAACAAACTCGGCAAACTGAAGGGTCCGTCAAGATGGGGGCTCAGAATTGGATCTTTTCAGACGAATAACAATCATTAGCTTAAGAAAATCACCCAACAAAAAAAATCAAACAGAAGGAGATAGATGGACAGCATGTTGAGGAGACAACTTTCACCTATCCAATCAAGGGACCATTTCAAGGCGGATAAATTTGAAACAGGGCTTTTTTAACCCTCGAAATGGAGTACATGCTTTCAGCAAGACGGGGGTGGTTCATAGAGCAATCTGCACCCTTCCCTTTACCAAAATCTCCATCCACTTTGATCAAGAGGAAGTAAAGCTGAAAGGTGGATAATTATTTTGCTCAATTTACTTGCCAACGGCCATCCGGTCGTCAGCAGTTCGAGGCTTCAAGGTTAATAGAAGAAACAAAAAAAGGTTTTACAAAGATCTACAAAACATTTAATAATCCGTTCAATCCCATAGAAAAAAAATCATTCTAAACAGACAAGTAGAGATAAATGAAGAGATTTAACTGACTAGGACATCACTTTTGGAGGTCGGGAATTTTAAAACGAAGGAAAATGTGTAAGTTTACCGAATGAAGACTTCGGTCTCGAAAAAAATTTTTTACAGAAGACCAACTTGATTCAAGGATAGTGAGCGAGAGACCTGACAGATCCGGTTGCAAGGGAAAGGGGTTGGGAGGAAAGAAAAGCTACACTCCTCAAATTACGACTTCAACTTATTTTGACCAAGATAGAGAGAAAAAGGAGCGAAGTGAGAGGAATAAGGAGTGAACAGTTCCGTACAAGTGGACATCCAATTCCATTTCCGTATTTTAAGCTTGCAAGCAGTGAAACTGGCTAGACCATAAGCAGCATAGGGTGGGATAAAAATTAAGCTGTTTCTGACAAGCTCGATTTCTCAGGTTGTTTTTAGGTACACTCATTGAATGGTGCAGGATAAAAGTAGAACATTACGGCGTTATTAAAAATCCACTTAAAATGTCATGAGTGTTATCAGACTCCTCAGGATACGAGCTCGCATCAGGGATTACCAGGCAAAAAGGCAAGTGAAAAAGAGAAGTGGAAAGCACGTTTGTGGAAGTTTAAGTCCTCTTCAAACCACCACCTCAAGGAGACCAACCTTGGTTTTAGAAATTGCAAATCTCTTTGAAAAGTGGAGACAAATGAAGCAGAAAAAGAAGCAGTTGGGGAATAGTTCTCATTGATAATTCAAGATTTTCCTAGGTGAGTGAGGAGGCAGATGAAGCAAGTGAATTGGAAGCAGGGGATAAATTGGTAAGCAGTTGGAGGAAATCACAAAATGCATGCAAGTTTTTAAACTTTTTGTTTGTTTGATGGTTAGCAGTAAACTTTGGCAATAAACCGAGACAAGTGGCGATAGAAGATAACTTTAAAGCGCTTCTCATAAAAATTCAGCAAAGGGCAGTTGGCAGGTGGGGAAATCAGTTTGAAAACAGCGTACAAGAATTCTAACGGACAAAGTCCAAGGAGAGGCAGTCAATAAGTTTGAGATTTCTTACATAATTTCCAATTCTCACCTTAATTCAGTTAGTGAGAGTAGAGAAGCGAAAGAGAAAAACTAACCCGACGCAGAGTGTTAATCTCCAGCAGGATTTCTTCCTCGTCCTCCTCAGTGATTGGCATCACCTTGATGGCGGCCAGTTGGCCTGTGCGCTTATGACGGCCCTTGTAGACATTTCCGTAGGTGCCCTTGCCCACCACTTCAATCAGCGCAAAGATGCCTGAGGGGTCTCGCAGATCCTCCAAATTCGTAATTTCTGTCCCAATCGATGACATAGCCCTATGCTCTGCTCTCGCTGTGATTAAAGCGCTTTTAATGCCGGACCTTCCGATGGCATTCGTTGGAGCTAGATAAAATGACAAAATGTAAAGTCCTTTAAAACGTTCCCAAACGGATTGAATGGGAAGGATGATCAAGATTTGCAACTTCAAGACCCGGCGGTGCCATGAGGTGGCCATTTGCGAGTGACTGACAGGTGTTCAAACTGCATCCACAAGAAGGGTCCTGGATTTCACTTTGATAAGCACTGCCTTATGAGCAAAGGAAAAACCTTGGTGTCACCACCAGTATTAGTAGGTGGGCACGATTGCAGAAACAGAATCACTAATGAGTAACCAATACTAGTAATGGAATAAGTTATAAAAGGAAGCAAAACTTGGGTCGCGTACACGCTGCAAGGTCACCAATCACTGGCTAGGGCGCTTCCTTGAATCGAGGAGAGGAGGACAAAGAAAAGGACTCGAAACTCAATATCACATACATTAAGTAAATAAAAAAATAAAAGTTCGGCTTCCAAAACCGTTCACAGCTGCCAATATCTTCACAGAGACAACAAAATGATGAGTCAAAGAGAGCGAAATGAATCGGCGGAGCAACAGACATTCGGTAGTCATGAGAGTATAAATTGTGATAGCCTTATTATTGCAAGGACACCACAATAATAAAATAAATCTAACTAGAGGTACCCACAACACAGGCCTAAAGGCACCTGACAACCGAAGTCACAAGGCTATGCGAACCGATGTTCCGAAATCGGCGACCAAGCATAATTAGAAAGCCGTATTGGGTGACATCTTTGCGAATAGATCTATCGCTGTTATGACCGATGACTCCACAAATAAGTAAGCTTCTTTATGCAGGGCCACATCTAAATCTACCTGTCTGTCATCCATTTGATGCCAATGAAAACACGATGAATAAATCAAGACCAAAGAACGTGCTTTAAACACAAATGGCATTCATCCGGGTTGTAATTTTGCGGATCCCGATACAGGGAACAATTATTCAGTGAGGATATCTTTGACTCCGCAGTAAGAATGCTGCGATGTCGATTTGAGGTTTTACAAGACGACAAATTCAAGCCACATCGCTGTTGAACGAAAGTTTGGAGTAAAAGCCAATCCGGATAAACCAAACATAAATAAACACAGACTGTAAGTATTTTGAGTTAAACTAAAAAGTAGTTAAATTTAAAAATAAGAGCACAAACCGTTCCAACTTTACGAAATGAGATCCAAACAAAGTAGTTTGGAACAGAACCACACATCATAAACTGTGTGAAAGTGAACAATACGAAACTTAGATTATCAAAAGAGTACAAAAATTAAGCGACACACAAAAGCTCACGCTAACACTTCAAGAAGACAATCAAGCTCTCAGGATTTTCGAGAGGCGGAAGGCAGTAAAGTGCATCCCAACAACACACGAAAATCTGGAACCTAAACAAATGCTTCACAGCAAATTATCACCTCAGGAAAATGTAAAAGCAAATTTGGTCAGTGCTCCGATCGATAGGATTCCGACATTAAGACTAACGCTTAACTGGAGAGTCCACTACATATGCTTACTCGGTGGAAGTGCATGCAAACCTGTAAAAAACGGAAATTTGCAAGTCTTAAAAAGAAATATGTGAACGACCATCATGAAAAGTGGACACGAATTAGATCAGGATTAGCCAATGTAAAGACTGATACGGAATCAACAGACTCGTAAAGCGTCTTAACACTGCGTTTGCAGCAGAAATAGAAGGTTAAAATACCTGCATCTGAAGCATGAAATGAATTTGGTTTCCCAGTCAAACACTAACCGCAAATATGACCAACAAACAGCATGGGATGATGCAAATAAGAGACATAAATTAGAATATAAATAATGACACGAAGCGCGGATTCATAACGCATCAAATGTTAAAAAGAAACATGTCGAAGAATTGCAATAAGTAAATGGGAGTGGAGAAGGAACGCAGAGCAACATGAATACGCAGAACCGAGCTATAAACGGAGATACGAAATATGCTAGGAGGAAAACTAACCTGCAGGAAAGGAATGGAAGATTGTCCTAGAACAGCCTAAATTGTTTGATTTATTTCTTTGTCTAATGGCGCCAGAGCTCTAGCGGCATCTTTTTAGGGCGAGCATCATCGACATCATTAGTTGGAAGTAGAAATCCATTCGAATAAAGGTTCTTAACATCTTAATGCAAGTGTTAAACCATCCCGAAAGAAATGTTAATAATTTTTAAGCTGCGCAGTGGTAGTTCAGATCTTTTGACTGACAATAAAAAATCAAATAATGTGTTTAGTAAATCTCGTAAAAAATGACAATTTCCTTCGAACTGGACAAGATCAAACGCACACTTGTATGTCATTAACTTAGGTAGTTTTATCAAAAGCCGCAAGCAAACTCACAACCTTCCCAACTGAGTGTTAATGCTCTGGGGTCCTATTTGAAAGTCCATATTGTTTGCAGAAATCTCAGACAGATTTGCTAATAAACGAACTATTTATATACAAGAAGAGTAGCATTCCATTATCCCAATCTCTTTTATTGGCATTTTATTAGGCGTCAAATCGCTCAATGTGGGTCTGAGCAACTTATTAAGAACTAGTACTTCAAATTTTTAATTCAATAACTGCAAAGAAACAACATCAGAAATTGAGGCAGCTTCAAAACACTCCTAAACAGTCGGCTAGAGATGTACGGTGCCGCCGAGATCCCAATGCTCGAACACTAGGTAAATTCTAGCAACGCCCCCCCAACTCCTTAAGGCCCTTTGCCACTTTCTTTGCATGTCACCCGCATTCGCGCTGGACAGATCCCACATAACCGCTAGAGTGTCAACAACTAATGCCGCCCCACTTTGCTGATTTATCACTGTTGGGGACCTCCAAGGGCTTCAAATACACGAGCACTGAAACCAACAACCGACTGGAGTATAAACTGAGGTTTCGAGAGCGTAAATCAACCAACTACTTCCACCAGCGAATTTGTAAGGTCGAAATGTAACTTAAAAAATTCAAAAAATTTCGGATTACAGCCAATACCACGTATAGCTCACAGCGCAGACTTTTACATTGATACAAAGATGATGACAATCAAAGTAAACCATTAATAAAATAAACCAACCCATCAAAGCGCACAGCTGAATTAATGACGAAACCAAACAGATGCAAAACACAAAGAAGTCTCCCGTATTTGATTATTCTGTCTTTTGATTTCCATCAAGACCTTGCTCCAGTTCTGAAGTAAGGACAGGAACTGCCCCACCTTTGTTAGTATCAGCAAAATCAGGAACAAGGAATGACACATTATTATCGAGAATGCCAATGTAATGGATCTTCGAATCATCATAAACCTCTATGTATGTAAATCCGCTGCACTCAAATTCCTACAAACTGACTACAAAACCAACCCAAAGATTACCTTAAACATTTTTCTCAAAAGCGGAAGCACTTTCCATATTCCAATAAAGATGGATAAAAATGAGACATGCGGAAATGACTCATACAAGGCTTCTTTTATAGGTGGAAGAAGAAACTTCTTGAATCCATGTTTTTCAAAGCGTTCAACTACATCCGCCGGACCATCCGTTAAAATGACCCCAACAGCAGACCGGCAGTCCTTAGCGGCTACCCTACCAGAGTCGTCATAGTAGATACCGCACTGGATAACCCCTGGTGCAATAGAATAGGCTTCAGTGAAAAGGCCGCCCAGAGAGCCATAAGATCCAAAGTTTGCTTTGTAGTACAATTCTGCTCCGTCCTTCAAATAAGGAATTTCTGACGAGATTGAAAGATCGACAGACCTAAAAATCCCCGAGATGTAGCACAAAGCCGCAATAGTCCAAAGTAGAAGAAAGGAAATTAAAATAACTAAGACAATTAAAAGCTCTGGCATAGCACAAGCACCAGACAAGGCCAACACCACAACTAGTAGCACATTCAAGCAATGCACGAGTAAGACGCGCATATAAACGAACCAAATGAAAGCGCTATAGAATTTCCTAAGAGCTTTCCAAAGTCCGTGAGATGATTTAGATACAAATTTATAGTGTTTTACGCATTGCTTAGTCAATAATGGTGAGCAGTGGAGAAATTTTTATTTAATGGTGCCATACCGCCGTGTTTTAAAATGCATAATTTTCTTAAACACACAAATTTACTTTTTAGAATCATTATAAATTGTTTTAAAAGACTTTGACATCCTATTTACTATTTGCTTTATATAGCCACGATGCGAATCTCGAGTCGGAGGCGGCTGTTTTGGTACTGTATGGCACTGGTTCTACGTTAATGGCTAGTGTATGTCGGTTTGCTCCCTTTTATGTAAAATTCTAGCTAAAGGCGATATGCAGAAAACTGCGTGAAGTTTAGTTTGGGCATAGTAGTACTTCTATGTTGTTGCAGGAAGTCAAAAAGCTTCTCAAGCTGAACGGTCTCTTGCTAGCTCCTGACGCCGCAGAATACCTAGCTTCCACCCTTGATATTGTTTCTGGTGATGCAGTTAGGCGCTTCGTTGAATGCGTGCTCTTCGTTCCGGCATTGGAGGACAACCGTGTTACGAAATCTGTCTGTGAGCAAATCCTCACCAGCTGGAAGTCCAGTTCCAGCGCTTGTGCAGAAGTCATTCGTCTCATCAATGCTCTTGATGTTGGTGAACTTCTCTCAGAAAGAAGTTTTGATTAAAGCTGTTACGTTTTAAACGTTTTATGACAGTATGTTACTTTGAATCCCTAGTTTCATCGTCCTTCACACAAATGCTTTTCTTTGTCTGGTTAGCAATTTGACGGAGTTAAATAATAATTTTGTTTTTCTGCCTTTAGGTGCCTCGTTTCAGATATTGTCGAGACACAAATAAATTCGTTCCACTCCGGATTTCACCGGGAGATGATATGAATAGTCTTCTTCCCTCCTCTCCTCTGCCCAAATCCTTTCTCTTTGCTCATCGGTATGAGGTATGCGTCTATAGGAACTGGTTTCGAATGTACCGCTTTCGCGTTTTTGAAATATTATTGCCATCACTACACTTGTAAATAGTTCTTTTATTTCGCAACTTTGCCCATGTTTCAAATGTGACATTTAATCTTGTTGTTCACACATGGAATCTTGTAAACCTGCCATTGCGTGCTTTGGCTCTCGTACAAACATCTAAAGCGCTGCCCACCCACACTTCTGCCGTGTGGATTATTCCTTCCGTAAAAGGCCGTGTAAGGATCAATCCTATAAGATCTCATGGGCGTAGGGATTCTTTTTCAAAAACAACTAGGAGTAATCGTTTGACTACGATCCTATGCTGGTCTTGCAAGATAAAGTAAAGTCTACTTTTGAGTCAAACGGCAGAAGATTGCCTTTTAAGTATTTCCTGTTTGCATGACGTTTTTCCGGGTGGTCATTTCTTCTACTGCTATTCTACAACTATGAAAAACCATAAGGACAACTGGAATCTGGTAGAATCGGAAATGACCGATCAAGCATGCTTATTTACTAGTAACTCTATTACGTCCACTTCTACATTTCTGCCGTCGATTGGAAATAGTCGCTTCTTCATTCTTTTAGTTTAACTAATTTTCATTCCCATCCTGCAGGTGGTATACCAACGGGTGGCCCGAAATCCTCTCTTTTCCGACGAGAATGGTTTCAAGCTACGTCCGATAGAGTTTCTTCTCTCTTCTGGTGGCAAAAGAGCTTCAGAAGGTGAAGAGGAGGGTGAACGAGATGGAGAGGTGACACCAACAGTGATTGTCCTTGGCGTCTTAATACAGCTGAAAAATGCTCAGTGGCACCTCGAGGATCCTACTAATCTGATCAAGTTGGACCTTTCCAACACTCGATTTCATCAGGTAGGGCTATTATTTTATCATTAACGTATCTATAAAACCTGTGAGTTTAGAGAGTGTTGGAAGGCTTCGAAGCTTACCAGAAAGAGACAAAACTCGTGCATCTGGGTTACGGAAAGTAAAATGTCGTTTACCTAGGGAATCTTTTCGGAGGGAGCGATAGTTCTCGCCGAGGGTTACTACGACGATAATGCTGAGGTGTTTCGGGCCTCTGGTATTGGCCTTCCGCCTGTAGAAAGCGCTGCCCAGACGCGGAAATATTTCAGTGTGACAAATCCCTTCGGTGGGGAGAAATTAGACGCTCCTGCCGCTCCTGTCGACCAACAATTGTCTCGACTTCTTAACGCACTACCAGTAGGTCTTCATTGAGCGTTTTGTCTATGTTCAATTCAACTTTTGTTGCTCTTTCTTCATGCAGGATTCCATGCTGGTTCTCTTGGGAGAAACACGCCTGGACGCGGCAGGATGTCTGGAACACCTTGAGACCATTTTTACGGGCTACGCAGACTTTCCACCCTGCGCGTTTCTTCTCTGTGGCGATTTTATCGCAGCTGACTACAGTCCTCACATTGGCGAAAAACGTGGCTTGTTGAAACACCTCTTTAAGCGCCTCATCGATGCCTTTCTCCGAGTCTATGGCGATGCGGAGGCACGCGGACACCGTCAACCGCGCCTGGTACTGGTTCCTGGACCTCATGACCCTTGTGTCGGGCCTCAGGGAATTCATCCTCGCCCTTCACTTCCATTCGACCTCTTCGGAATAGAGGAACGAGGCGCCTTGTCTACTGATTGGCTCTGGTTGGCTACCAATCCGTGCAGATTAAGGGTGTTTACAAGAGAGGTGGTGGTTTTTCGATATGACTACGGAAGGCACTTAATGAGATATTGCCTTCACTTACCAACTGTTTCGTCAACTTCTGCTGACGCTACTGTGGAAGCTGCTTCCTGCGATCTCGATGCTGAGGTAACAGACAAGGTTCCAATTGGTCCTGCTTGCCATTTTGTATCCATAACCTCCTCATGCGGTTAGTTTGTTAATGTTATCGATTCTTCTCAATGTGCTAACATTGGGAACGGTAAGACCTCGAACCCCATAATTGTACATCATATCCACCTCGGCAGAATGCAATAATGTAATGACCTGGATACGGATTCATCACCTCTGGTGTTGATCACCTTTGAGATGTTAACAGGTGTCGAGCTACTATCTCATGTCTTAAGGTCATACTGATATCAGGTATTGATCATCTAGACACAGCAGGAACAAAATCGGGAACACACTATGACAGTAAAAGGAGAGGACGCTCCAGCTGCAGTGTTGGGTCGAGGGCTAGCCCGCTGCATCTCCAGTCAAGGACACCTCGCTCCCTTACCACTTCACGTTTCCCCAGTCTACTGGGCCTACGATCAAAGTCTTTGTCTTAACCCTCTGCCAGACCTTGTCGTTGCTGTGGAACCGGGAGCTATTGCTGATTTGAACGTCGCCTCGACCTCCATTGTGTCTGGAGGCGAGGATCCTCTTGGTGGCTGTCGATTCGTCAATCCAGGGCGCTTTGGAAGTGAAGAATACAGCTTTAAGGTATACTACCCAAGCAGCAGACTCGTGGAAGATAGTAGGGTACCCCCATAGATTGGCTCTCGAAACGCTTACCTACGTGTGTCCGTAAAGTACATTTTGGTGTATTTCTAATCCCATTTTTGAAGGGTGAGGACCCGGAGGCTTTCGAGTCAACCTAAGCAGAGATTACGCAATCACATTTTATTACGAACGTGGTTAGCAAGGCGCTTTATCCACCAAGGTAGAAATGATGAGCCCGCAACGCAGCGGGTGCACCCCAAATTAGTCATCGTAAAACTTCTATGCGCCAACCCGCTTCAGTGGGATAAATTAGCTCTATGGCGAAGAGGCGACTGAACACAACTCTACGTTCAAGAATATTCATAGGAGGCGGCAAATCCGAGTTTGAGGTTACCTCGAGGTCATCATTTACCCACAGCGGATCTCAGCAAAGGTACACTGACAATTCAAAGAATCCCAGATGTTGATTTCATGCGCAAAGTATATTCACAAAGATGGTCGGTAGACGAACACAACAGCAACGAAAACATTCTACCCGTACAAAAAAATGGCCCCAAAGCGAACATCAGATGTCGATTTAAAAATTTACAAGATCGGATTCTTCAAAAGGCTTAAGCGCTTTATACCATACTCCAAGATTCGACTAGGAATAAGTCAAAGTAGTTCATCCTACTGGCCAATTGGCGGAGGTGGTGGTGGTGGCGGTGGTGGTGCAGCCAGAAGCGGTGGGGGGGGCGGCGGAGGTGGGGGCTGAGGCACCCCCACTCCAATGCCAGTGAGCGATGGTGGTGGAGGTGGTGGCGGCTGCGATGCCTGCGATATGCCGAAAGGCGTCGTTCCGAACGATGGAATGGCTGGTGGAGGAGGCGGTGGCGGCGGTGGTGGAGGTAACTGAAGCTGTAGCTGCGCCTGCTGAGCACGCGCCTTCTGCATCTCCAGTTCACGAATCATCGCAGATGATGTTGACTGATTTTCAAGCTTGTAGGCAAACTGAGAACCAACAGAAAGATATCTCAGCTGGGTTTATAAAATCACATTGTGAAAATAGCGGAACTCCACCTGAAGGAAAAACTGCTTCGATGCGGGATTCCAGTAAGTCCAAAATTTCTTCGGGTCTTTGTCAACCTCACGACTACGAACCTTGAAGGCGATGGTTTCATAAGGTTCAGCGGCAAACAGGAGATACTGCCACTTCCTATCTGGAGGTTCAACATGCTGTTCGTAGGCTGACATAAAACGATGACGTGGGATCACACCGGCAGCATCAGCGATCTCAGGATAGTCAATTTGAAATAACATTGATTGTTGACCTGTCTCTGGGTCTTTCTGCTTAGTAACCTAATGAATAAAGAAAATTCTAAGTAAACGACAATAAGATCAAAAATAGCAAATAGACATGAAGCAGACTTTATAACCGGGCCGACCAATTTTAATGAACTTCTTTGGCTCAACTTTGGCCTTTTCTGGTTGGAGAGTAGCTGGGCCTTCTTTTGCTTGCTCATGTGCGCGCCTCTGGAGGTTGTACTGATGCTTTTTACCTAGGAATATTATTTATTACGATTATTTGCACCCAGAATCCAAGCAAGTCCGTCTCAAGACGTTGCTTTAATTCTCAACCGGAATTTCAACTGCCTTACCTTGAGTATGTGCAAGATAGCTGCCCTCATTATTGTGAAGGGTGAGGCAAAGCTTGCATTCATAAGTTCCCAGGTGATTTTTCATAAAATATGGATCCTTTTCAAGATCGATCGTATCCAGAGCCAACTGACGAAGACGCTCACGACGATCACGGTTAGCTTCCGACTCCGATGCTACACCACCAGAGCCAGTCTTACCCCCAACACGATGTTGAAAATCCATTTCACTGTCACGACCAATGGACCACCAAGCCAACCAACAATTCCGAAGCGTCCGCCCTTCAAAATACAACGAACCAATGAAAACGTAGGTTGGGATAGTGAATGATTAAAACACGTTCCCAAAATTTAACCTAAGCTCTATACATTTTTGTCTGACATATTCTGCTGTTCAAATTATAGGATTGAGTAGAGATGTGTCGATATATAGTTGATCACTTTTAATGATGAGGAGTAATTAAAACTTGGTCATCGGATTAAAACTGGGGCCAAATTTAAAACAAGTCTATTAATAATATTTAATTCTTTGTTTTTGAGTCATGACTACGTCAACAGCTTTGATTAGCATAAAGACATGCAAGTAACGCAGGTAATGTCTAAAGTAAAAAGCGTAGGTCAAAATTCTGCACATTTAACCACGAACCAGGAATAACACGTAATGCCCTGACGAATCTTCGGCGGTGTAGAAACGGCTTGCATGTTTCTCTGCCCTTGAATCAGACTTCAAGAGAGGGTTAGTTGCAGTTACTTTATTAGGCAATGATTACAAGAGGAATGGGATACGGGAGAAAGGATTGGCCGAATTGCCGATGTCACCCAGAGCGAATTCGCACGGTCCTCACGCACTGTATTTTCGTCCCAAATTGCTTCCCGCCTATCTCCTATAAAGGCACACTTAAAAAATAGTATGTTACACAGTCTACTTCTCTTTTAAGTACCGTCCCCGGTGCTGACAAGTAGGGTTCCATCTCGTGGCTTCCCTTTTTCTGATAACGTATAGACTTCGTCCTCGTAACCCACTGGGGGAGGACCCGTATATGGCCTTATCTTGTTATGACGTACTGTCAGAGGCCGAGTAGCAATCTCCGCATTTCCAATGGGATAATTCGTGGGCGACAGGACCTTGATTATCCTGTAGAGTGCCTTGCTCCAGGGGTGATAGAATTTTCGATGGATTCGTAGCGGAGAATTGATCTACACAATTGCACCAAATCGCCCTCTTTTAAAGAGGTGCGTTATTACTGACGGTTTCTTACGAGGAAGCGAAATGTCAAAAGGGACTCTCATTTCACGGCCCGTGAGCATCTTGAATGGTGAGACTCCAGACGAGGTGTGAGCAGAGGCTCGGTAGGCAAGAAGAGCCCGTCCTAGGTATAGATCCCAATCCTCGGGCTGCACCTCTTTGGTGAAGACCTTCAACAAGTCGACAAGAGCACGATTTGTTCTCCCCATTTGCCCATTGCCCTGAGGATGACCCGGCGTCGTACGCTTCTTACGGATTCCAAAGGCTTTGCACAGCTCTTTGAAGAGACAACTTTCAAAGTTCGCCACTTGGTCGTTATGCACGGACTCAGGCACGCCATGTCGGCAGATCGAGCGATTCAAGAATGAGGTTGTTACTGCCTCAGCATCTTGCGCCTGTAATGGCTCGGCTTCCGCGACCTTGGTGAAATAGTCTGCCATCACCAAAATATAACGTCGTAGGAAGCGGGCCTGTGATGTCTAGCCTACACGCTCCTCTGGAAAGCCCTTGGACATCGGCTGCAGAGGGGCTACCGCCGTGCGAGCTGAGTTCTTCAAGCTGGTACACGTGATGCATGCGCGACAAAAGTCGGAGACATCCGACGTCAGCGAGGGTCACCAATGCCTCTTCCTTGCGACGTCGAGCACTTTCCTGTCCAACAGCGATGACTGCGCCAAAGAAACTGGTACCACGAGGCGTTTAGAACCGGCTGCATTATCGTCCTTCTACCGCATGATATCGTCGTCTAAAGAGAATTTTTCCCAATTCTGCCATATTTGCTTGACTCTCTTGCTCGCCGAACTCATCTCTTCAACTGTGGGCTTGGCTGAGGATGTCCTTAGTCTTTCACAAACTAACGCTATATCGGTGATGGGAAGTAGGCTCGCTCAATAACAGCGCACCTACTGTGTTGCTATCTGTGGACGGTGCTAAGGGTTTTCGTGACAGAGCGTCGGCATTGCCGTGAGAGCTTCCTTTGCTATATTGCACGATTAAGTCATTGCTGGAGTTCTTTGCACCACCTTGCAACCGAGCGGCCCATTTCCTTCATCGTCTTCAACCATGTCAGCGCTTTCCAATCAAATAGTGCTTAAAATGCCTGACCATTGTATGAATAGCGAAAAGTTCCCGTTCCGTTGCATTCTTCTGTTTCATCGTTTTGCTGAGACACGAGTGGCATACGCAATCACATGTCCTCTCTCGTCTTTGTCCCGTTGGGATAGAACTCCACCCACCGCCGCATCTCTGGCGTCTCCGTGTCCAGCACGAAAGGAGGAGCCTCGGCATTGAAGTTTGGTAAAGTCAAGATCGGCGCCGCACAGAGAGCACGCTTCAACTCCTCAAACGATTCTGTGTGGTCGGTTTCCCAATGGAACTCCTTTTCGCCTGTTTCTCTGTCAACCTGTATAGAGAACTTTTACAAACTTTTACAAAACGCCGACAATAGTTAGCCAAGCCAAGTAAGCTGCGAAGTTCCGTCTGATTTGTAGGTGTCGACCAAGTCCTCACTTCCCTTGTTCTGTCTTCCCTGACCGCCATCCCGTCTGCAGAAATTGTGTGCCCCACAAACGTGACCGACTTTTGGAGTAAACTTCATTTCTTCGGATTCAGCGTCAGACCTGCTTCTCGAAGGCGA